TTGTATTTACCTACTTTTGAGAACTGCTAAGGACCAGATGGTTTTTATTATGTCCTGATACATAAAAGCATAGAACTCAAACGGGGTGTACTTATGCTCCCATATGTTAATATTTTTTCTACCAGCAGCACCTTGGAAGATATTATTATTTATGTACGTATTTGGTTTTTATTGTATTTTATACTATTTTATTGTATTTTAATTAATATTTGTTGTTTTTATTGTAAACCGCCCAGAGTCCCTTCCTCGTGAGATGAGCGGTGTCCAAATTTGAAATGTAAATAAATAAATGCTTGGGGCACATGGGCATTGCAGGCCTCCTGTTTGTAATCACAGCTCTTAACATCTTTAGTACAAAGCATCACTGCAGTATAAAATCAGCTTTGAATCATTTGTTAACGTTTTCACTAAAAACTGTTCCTTAGAATTTGCATTTTCATTATTAAAATGTAAAATTTGAGAAGTATGTCTTAATGCTGACGAGAAACATGGTGATATTTTTCGCAACCATTTTTAAAGTTCATGTCAGGCTGTCTTTTCATTTCACTGCTTCATTTCATCTGTAACAGGGGAACACTTAAAACAATTTAAAAAGTGGACAGCAGTTCAATTTGATGTTGCCTGAGATACCTTGCATATAAAAAAATAAAAATGACTCCTCAGGACACTTGCATGACAAGTTGATTTACTACTTATTTCCTTGCATCATGAGTAATGCGACAGGCCCAGCGTAGAGCCAGATGAGTAAGGGAGGTAACTTTTATTGATGGGTCATGTCAGACAAAGGCATTATGTGCGGGCTCTTTCAGCTGTTCCTGTAGAGATCAGAGCCAATCTCGGTGTATGGCTTCTTAGCGGGGATGCTGCAAGATTCAGTTGAAGAGTCTTTTATGTCTAAAACAACAAGTATTTCATAAAACAATTAGCATGCAGATTTACGTCAAATTTATTCAGAATGCAGAGAAGCAAGCATTTTCTTCCTTTTGTAGTTCCAGGCAGAATGCTGGCTCTGTTGAAAAGCTTTGACCTTCTTTCAAACATTTCATGTTTAAAAAGTATTGTTGTGTCCACTTGTTTACAAAGTCAAAGCTTTTTACTCCTGTGACACTTGACTGTTGCAATATGTACGTGCATGCTTCTGTGTATGTGCATGTGTGCATGCATGCATGTGCTATGGAAAGTGATGGAGATGTAGAGGATTACATGGGACAAAGTGGGGAGAAAGGTCCTTCTACCTTTCTCATCACACCAGAAACTGCAGCACCCAGGGAAATATAAGAGGAAGATTCAGGAGAAAAGAAAGCACTTAACATAGAGCACATAGTTAAACTATGGTGCTCACTGCCACCTGAAGTAGTGATGGCCTACCAGTCCTTGGGGGAGATGTTGGCCTTAACTGGGAAATAGGAGGTGCTCTTATGCTGTACATATTCCATAGAAATAAATGATTTAATTGTCTAAGTTCCATGGAAGAGGTGCAGAATAAATCAACTTCCAGCAGGCATATTTCTATAGTGGTGGTGGGTGCTATTTTTCAAAGGAACAGATGTTTCTGTAAACCCATGGATAAGATCTATTTGATTATTCCCAGGAGCCACTGCTTGCTTTCTTGCTTGCTTGCTTGCTTGCTTTTTCTTTCTT